CATTCCTGCCGTGATGAAAATGGCCTTCTTTTCAATGCAGCTTTTTTTTGCTGTGGAGACTCGTAAGCTTTTGTATATGGTTTTAGATTTTGTTTCTCTAGAGCTAAACACATGGGACGCTGTAGGGTCCCTGTCCTCCTCCACCGCAAGATGGTTCAGATGGCACTGCAGAGGAGGCAGGCATCATGCCCCAGCTGTCCCCTTCTTTGAGAGGAGACCCAGGTTTCTCTCTCAGTACCAGGAGTATGAAGTAAAAGCAAATAGGGGGCATCAGAGACTAGGAAATAACCTGTGGTGGGTAACAAAGTGTGTACAGAGCATAACACACACAAAATCTGGATTCAAACAGTAGGTTCTTTTGCTTTTCTCTGTTTGGTGCAGGATTCCAAAGTAATTTTTAAATGAGCCTGTTTCTATTATATAGCTGCCAAATGTCATCCACTGCCTTAAACTCCTCCCAGCTCATGGCTGAAAGTTCCCACTGCCTGGGCTGATGTGTTTCTGAATATTCCTGTATCCCAGGCCAAGCAAAATGGGACACCAAACACCTCTTACTTGAAAGACTTAAGCAAACCTGGAGTGCATGGACTGAAACAGCGGAAGGGATAGGTGTATAGAAGTAGCTGAGCTGACAGCTCCACAGGTGTGTAAGGGGGGCTAAGAGAAGCAAACAAGCAGTTGGAGGAAGGCTTTGGTGTTGTGTGTTCCACTTGTACATCTTTCAAGGAAAACTGATGCACAGAAGAGGCTACGGAAAGCATCAAGTCAGTCTTAAATCTACTGACTTCTGCAGAGCAACTGCAACCAATATGTGCTAAGTGTGTGTTCTACTCTATTTGAAACCTGCTCTAAAAACACATGCCCCTTTCCAAATAATTTATAGGATTTTCCTATTTATTTCTGATATCCAGATATACCTACACACCTACTTTCTTCCAGGTTACAAGACATATGTTGAATTTCAAAAGAATTTCAAAAGCATACATTGCCTTTATCATGACTTTCAGCAGAAAATTATCTAACCTTTTTTTCAAGCTTAATATTTTTACTTCTATTTGCTATTATACTATTATTTAAAGTATAAGTTTAAGAAATTGTCAATATAATATAAACAATGGAACAATAAATCTGATCTAATTGATCAAAAGACAAAAGATCTGATAAAAGCTAAGTTTTCCATTAATTCATAATCAAAGGCTATAATATGGAAGATGAAGAACCTGCTTCCATTCATGTGTCTGATGGCAATACATAAGTTCATAACTTACCACTTTTGGGTAAGGAAAGTGTAAGAGGGAAGATGATAGCTAATAATGACAAAAGTTTTAAGTATCCTTCCATTCATATTAAAATAAAATTCACACTATCCAATTAAGCCAGAGATATATCATTCAAAAATATATTAGGAAAAATTAATTAAGAGAAACATTGCTTACATAAGAGAAGTCTTCGGCATTTTGACAGAGTAGCTTGGGAAAAACAGCCTGTCGCTGAAACCTTTCCTCGTCTTCAAAGATGTTCCCATACATGAAGCCATTCATCATGGTGGAGTGGGCATGGATGTCAATATAGAACTCCAGGTTAATCTTCTGTTGAGGGAAAACAACAACAACAAAGAAACATTCAGTATGAGATAAATCATAACTGTGTTACGTAGGTGAAGCCTCGCATAAATCCAGTGCTGCCATCCTTGAATCTATCCATGGTGCCAGCATCCGAGAGCCATACTGCAGACCTTGCTGCGATGCATCCATCCACTCATGCCTCTCTGTGGGCGCACGTGAGATGCAACACAGGACCACGACAGATATTTCTTTACCTGTTCTGAGAAAGCTGGAGCATTTATGCAGCATAGGACATGGTGCAAAATAGAGTCAAAGAATTATCCTTCGCTTTGATTTAGGGCTTAGTGTCACTGCTAAAATAAGCACTTTCCAGTTCTAGAGCATGAGTGTTCAGGCACGGCTTTGCCATCTCTGCACAGTTCTGCATCGCAATATGCAGATGTACCCTTCACTGAGAAAGACAGATGCAAAATTGTATAACAGACTTCAGTATTTCCTGTGCAGTTTATTTTGGATTATATGGAGAAATACTGCAAATGGTTTTGTCTTACTCTGCTTTGCAGTAGTAGTTCAACAGAACTTCCTAAAGCCAGTGCCTTAAATGCCTCTCCGCTGCAGCTTCATGGTTCTGCATCAACCCTTGCTTCAACAGAAAACGCCAGGACCTCCTCGCACAGAAGTGCCCGCTCCCCCCACACCCGTCCTGGACTGGGAATTCAGTGTCAGGAGGCTCTGTAGGAAAACGTTGCTCAAGTCTTCAGGCCAGGGACACACCTTTTTCCCCATATCAGATGTCAGCGATGCTACTCCCCCTGCCATAGCTGGCAAAGAGTGAATGTGCACCTTGATCACGATGCACAGTGCCGCTGACAGCGGTGAGGAGGACATACCCGGTACTGAAAGGTGCTACCAGAGCAGATGCCACTGGATTACACAGAGCTTCCTGCTCCTGCAGCCTCTGGACCTGAACAAATGGTGCTGTGTGAGCAGTGACAAACCCAGCCCTGTCACCTGGCCACCATGGGGCCAGCAAGAACCTTCCTGGCAACCTGAGGGTTACAGTTCAGATCTCCCTGTCCCAACAAGAGGATGGAGAAGAGCTCAGTTCGCAGGACAGGGCTTACGCTGCTTTAGCCCTGTACCCCTTGGCAGCAAACAGGAGCCCTGGCCAGTAAAATACAACACGTAGCCCTCCAGCCACTTGTTGTGCCTGCACACAAAGCTGGTTCAGGCTACCTCAGAGTGCTGAGCTGCAGGACAGGCCATTGTAATACCAACACAGTTCGTATTACGCAGTTCATGTGACAGCAGTGTCAGCTCTTCTAGAGTCTCTGATGGGGGGAGGACATCATTCGGTATGTGAAACTGATATGATACAGACTTACTTTCCCTTGGCAGAAAACCAATGTACAATACACAGCGACTTTTAGTTTAATTAAACAGCCTAGAGAGAGTAATACTGTATCTTATTAAGCCTCTCCTATGTTAAAATGTTAGCTAATGCAATATCAATATTTGACCACGCTTCATAGGAAAAGAAACATTTGATTGTATTTTACTCTAATACAATAAATTTTTTGTTCCTGCCAAAACATTATGCTGTGCTAGAGGACCAGCACTGCAATAAAGCACACATCTGCTATTCGGAGATACAGCGCTGAGGAGAAAAATTAGCATTGACAGGATGAAAAACCACATAGGATTTTCTTCCTCTCCAAGCATACAGAAATTAAACCCAAGATTGAGCAATATTATTTTTCATAAGATAATTTCTCCATCAGAAACAGAATTTGATGAGATCAGATGCACACTGGCATATCACCGTAAAACAGAACATGTTGTAGAGTCTCAAAACAGTGATTTGATGATGAAGTGAGGAGATGATCTAGCTAAACTGGATATTTGGAAAGCATGAATGTCCTTCACATAGAAGTCAGTGACCTAAGTCATACTTATTTTAGAACAATTAGACAGGATTCTTTATAGGGACCTGTTTATTAATATAAAGTTACTGAGAAGCACAGTGTGATATAGAACAATAGATTTGTGTCTTAACACAAATAAAGGGGCTGGCATAAACTGTATGATTTGTGCTGTGACATACTGTACTTATTCATCCATAGTTATCAAATTGTTTCCAAATAAAGTTGTGTACAAACAGAGACACAAAAGCACAGATTACTAAGATAACTGTCCACAAGCTATCCAGCAAGAAATTCGCCTGCAGAATATGGGTGACCCAGGCCTCAGCTTAGTATTCAATTGATCAAATCATCCAGTCTGACACAGTGTCACTACAGAATATTTTCTAAACCCTCCTAGGCTTCTTGGTAAAAACCAAAAAACAACAAAACAAAAACAAACGAGCAAACAAAACAAAACACCACCAGATAAAAGTGTTCCAGAGCATTTTAGAGAATCTCTTGGGGTGCTAAAATTTCTTTGATCATCAAAACCATTTTCAAATGGTCTGGTTACAATGGTTATTTGTGAGGCAACAATGCCCTTCACAGATATCACCTTCACCTAAAGATTAAACTTCCAGATGGCTTATTTGGAAACGATGACATCCAACCGATAGCTCATCACCCAGATGAGGGTTTAAAAAAATTTTACCAGTCATTCATTACAGCGTATTACAAAAGTAATTTCCTAAGTCAGCCCACAATAACTATTCAACTGTTTTTTCTGGTCCTTGTGCTGAACATATAGAAACTCTGTGTCACATAGTCCTGCTCACTACATATGGTCCAGATTTACAATTGTCCATCCTACTCAGTAAGATGTTAAACATTGCTAGAGCAATTGCCAGTTAGATGTACTACTCCTAGACACTGCCACATGCGAGCAGAGCAGTATTTCAGTGGTTCACATTCCTTTTCATCACATCCATTATTTTATCAAAGGGAAATATCTTGAGCATTCTGCATTACAAAATCAAATAATTCAGGGCACTGTAATATAACGCATGAGTTCCTAATGGAAAATGTCTCTTTATTCACAGGGAAGGGTATTTTGGTCTTAAAATGGACAATAATAGCCCAGTCACTGGGGCAGTAAACACAAAGTTTGCCACCTCGTGCCCCAGGTAGTAGACCAAGTAGTAGACAGTTTGCCGACAAGTTTCACAAAAGAATTAAAATATATTCCCGAATTATAAGGGTATTTCTTCTCTCCCTTTAGAGTCACACGTTTTCAGAAGTACTTCACGTGTAGGAACTGTTTCACCCCTTGCCACACTACAAATTTAAGCTAGGAAATAAAGTTTCATATCTCAGTTGAGGTCCTCTGAAGATTTTGACATAATTACTGATCTCCTACAATTTAGGCAGGATCACAGCATTAACATTTTATTAAATATATAATGTCACCTCCTGATGGGAATTTCAGAAAAATCCGCAGAGAGCTGACCTTCTGAAATTGTTTCTCTTTGAGGTAGGGAAAATTGTAATGGGGAATAAAGTTAATAAAGGTATGTGTGCATTTACATGAACACATACAAACACACTTAAAACATAAACCAGTCGTCTCTGTGTTAAACCGCAGGGGTACCTGTCACAGCAGAACCCACCCTGGTTATGGCTTCTAATGCAGTGGCACCTGAAGGTCAGAATGGGACTAAATTTAAAGGTGGCTCAAGGTCTCACATTCACATTTGCTTCAGCCTTTAAGCAGAAAATAATTAATAACCAGGCTCAAACATCTCTGGATGCCATAGCTGCCTTCTGAGAGACTTACAAGTTACATCCTACAATATGATATTAAACTCATCATTTTCTGCTGTAGAGGTAGAATGCAAAATGTTTCAGGTACCTTATAAAAATCATCATGCAATTGAATTCCCTCAAGTGTCTTTTCTTTGCACTTACAAGCAGCAGCAGAGATTTTCTATCACACAATCTCTTTCTTAAGTAAAGTTGTAACTACCTGAATGACCCGGCTTACAGAGTTGGAGAAAACAAAGGCAGACTTGGTCTTTCTTTTCTCTGTGTGTCAAAATCGTTCACTAGACCAACAGAGACAATGACAGAACCCCACTTCCAGGAAAATAAGAGTTAACATTCTCTGCCTTGAAAAGAATGGGTTTTGCCTCTTCTTGCCACTTACCATATAGAAAGAGAATAAATAAATAAGCAAAATAATTTCTGCTGTAAAGTTCATTTGAATCTCTGCCTTTGTGACACACACTTGCCACCATTCTCTGGAGCCAGGCTAAAGTTTCTGGCAGCTTGAAAAAGAGGGGGGAAAAAAGGAAAGAAATCATGGATAAATAATAAGCGCTCAAATTTATTGTCAAGATATGATATAGTCAAAGTAGCACAGAAACTGAAAACTTGTTCATGATGCCATGTAAAGTTTGAGGAAGTATATTCTCACTTGTCTGCATTTTTATTACATTAGCTGAATGCCTTTGGAAGGTCAGTAATTACAGAGCAAAAGAAAAGAATGATGTTAGTAGTTAGTGCTGATATGACTAAAGTTAGATTTTGAACAGCGCAATTATGATTCTTAAGGAAAAAAAGATTTAATAAATAAATAAATAAATAGAAATCAATAAATGCTGCAATAAAAGGATAAATGTGCATTGAGCCCAGAACATGGGCCACTAGAGAGAGAAGTGATGCAGGAAGAAGCCAGCTCTGTCCACCAGCTGTCACTTCAATATGGATTTTATTAATTCTTGGGCATAGCAATTGGTTTAGAGAGAGAGTGTCCAAAAGCCTTCTTCACTCCAATATTTCATTCAGGGGATGGGATAAACTCCTTGCAATGTTTTATACAAGCTGCTAAAACCAGGGCTTGTCTTCAGTGGTAGAAAACATAAGAGTCTCCTGGCAGACTTTGCACTCCTACTGCTCAGCCACGGTTTGACGCAAATGGACATATAACAGTTGGCACGGCATAAGGAGCTTGCCCCTTTCGGTTTAGCAAAGATTCAGAAATTCGCAGAAGACTGTCTCTTTGATGCTTCCTGAGGTCCAGAATCTCTTAAAAGACAATTCTGCACAGGTCTGAAATATGTC